GAGATTGATGTCCGTATGTGTTACTTAATTTTCAGAATGGAGTTTGTTCCTGCCCCTCCTATGATGATTAATCAGTTTACACTGTCTAAGTGTCTAGGATAAGCATCATGTATCTCTCGCTGTGACTAAGTGTGATGGTCATGGGACTATTGTTTTTTCCTGCCCCAAGCGATTGCCACTTTTGCCTATTAAAACAATTTAAACTTTATTTTAATGCTAACTAGTAAAATAAATACTCTGTAAATGCACCACTTTAAAAACAAATGGACTTGATTTTAATGTTTTTATGACCTGCCTATAAAGTTGATTAAACTAGACGGTTTATAAGATCCAAAGAACAAATTTTATGAACAGTGGTGTTTAAAAGGGGCTTACTGATTCTTGAGTGCCTTGTTGGTTTGATTGCTAGTCCTACCTCAGTTGTATGAATTGGCCGTTGGGTAAAATTATATTACTCAAATTCCTGCACCTATTACTGTTGCCTGATGCCATACAAGACTATGGAGCGAAACCCATATCAGTAATATACGTAGACTAATCTGGCTCTAGTTTCTGAATCTAAGGCTAGCTGCATGGGAATCTCTCTCCAAAAAGTGTTGATGCGAAAGGATCAATTGTAGTTTCAATCCATTCACTGCCTAGATCTTCACCTTGAGCTATGACTGCATTATCATATCATTAAGTCATATATTAAAGTTTGAATGTTGACTAAATATTTTTTGAAATGTTGCTGCTGTGCGGAGGGTTCTAAAGTACTTTCTGTTGTCCCTATTTAATTTGAGGCTTTGGGTAAGACTGTTCCTTTTGCAGTTAAATTGTCAGCAGGGCAGAATGGTGTTTGCTCGACTCAACATGCTCTTAAAAAGAATCATAGAAAATAGGTACGTGAGTAGGCCATTCAACCCTTTGGGCCTGCTCCACCATTCAATATGATCGTGGCTGACCATTCAACTCAGTATCCTGGATACAGTCAGGACTGCAGATGCTGGAAGCCAGAGTTAATAGATGTGAAGCTGGAAAAGCACAGCAGGTCAGACAGCATCCAAGGAGCAGGAAAGTCAACGTTTTGGGCCGAAACCCTTCGTCAGCCATGGAACGTTGACTTTCCTGCTCCTCGGATACAGTCTGACCTGCTGTGCCTTTCCCACTACACGTCTATCAACTTGGTACCCTGTTCCTGAGTGAAGAAATTTTTTCTCATCTGTTCTAAATGGCCTACTCTATTTCCTTAGGCTGTGACCCCAGGTTTTGGACTCCCCCATCATTAGGAACATCCATTCTGCATCTAGTTCTGTTAAAATTTTATAGGCTACTGAAATTCTCCTCATCCACAATCACCACACATTGTCTCTCCTTCTGCAGTAAAACTTGCATATGACACTTACAAGTCCATCATGCCTTCTAAACCTCAGAACAGTCCTCCAGTATAACCAGTACGTACATTTCCAAGTATTACTTTACTGGGTTTTCCCTGTGGATAGGTGCAGCTCCCTGACTTTCCAGAGTACTGATGCCAGTGTATCAAAAGCCAGTTGGCGTGTGACTTAGGTAATAGTCTAGAGACAATTATTCCTGGGGTTCTGCTCGACAATTTGGTGCCTAGCTCTATCTAAACACACTTAAGCAGAATTTGCTTTCCTAATCCTACCCATGTTGTTGATACCTACATGGACTGTGCCAGCTCGATCATCACCTTCCCACTAAGTTCCAGTCAAGCCCTGATCAGATGTCCTGAATCCTGCCACTGGGTAGGCAACATAACCTTGTCCCATGCTCTTGACTGCACAGAAGTGTCTATCCCACCTTATTATACACTCCGCTACATTTCCTTATACAGTCCTCCTACCCTCTACAGCTGTGACATGATGCATATCTCTCCATTGTCTCTTGTTCTAGGTGATTTATATTAATGAACTATGTTTAACTTGTCATGTAAAATTCATCATTCTCTTTAACACAATTTTATTGTTGATTAAATACTGATAACATTTAGAATGGAATTATATGTAAGCACTTGGTAGTCCATCAGCTTACCAGACCCCTATGATGTCCCTTTTTTCCGAATTGTATCTCAAACTCTGCATGAGTTGGCTCCCAGCAGCAGAAGTGGTGTGTACCAAAGAGATTGGGAACATAAAAGTACACCACCTTCACCCAATTCATCAAACTTCCACACTTGGCAAATTCCCAACCCTCCACTGTGCTGCCTGCACACTCCAGTCTCTGTATTTATACTGCTGGTGTCTTGGATGAGTCCACTCGATCTGCTATTATCCAAGAACTAGTTTTAGCTAGCTCTCTAACTGCACTGCAGCTGGCCTCAATCGAGAGCCAGAGACTTGCAGCATGGAAACAGACCCTTCGGTCCAACCAGTCCATGCCGAACATAATCCCAAACTAAACCAGTCCCACCTGCCTGCTCCTGGCCCATATCCCTACATTCAGGTATCTATCCATTTCTGATGAAGGGTCTAGGCCCGAAACGTCAGCCTTTCTGCTCCTATGATGCTGCTTGGCCTGCTGTGTTCATCCAGCTCTGCACCTTGTTGTCTCGGATTCTCCAGCATCTGCAGTTCCTACTATCTCAGGTATCTATCCAAATGTCTTTTAAATGTTGTAATTGTACCCAAATCCACCACTTCCTCTGGAAGGTCATTCTACATGCAAACCATCTGCTGTGTTTTTAAAAAAAAAAAAAAAAAATTACACTCATGTCACCTTAAAAATATGCCCCCTTGTCTTGAAATTCCCATCCTAGGGAAAAGACCACTACCATTCACCCTATCTATACCTCTCATTATTTTATAAACTTCTATCAGGTCGTCTCTCAACCTCCTACACTCCAGTGGAAAAATGTTCCGGCCTTTCTTTGGAACTCAAACCTTCCATACCTAGCAACATCATGGTAAATCTCTCCTGAACCCCCTCCAGCTTGGTAATATCCTTCCTGTAACTGGGCGATCAGAACTGGACACAGTATTCCAGAAGAGGTCTTACCAATGTCCTGTAAAATCTCAACATGACTTCTCAACTTCTATACTCAAAGGACTGAGCAATGAAGGCATGCGTGCCAAATGCCTTTTTAGCCACCCTGTGTATATATAACGCAAACTTCAAAGAATTATGTACCTGCACCCCTAGGGCGCTCTGTTCTACAGCACTACCCAAGGTCCTCCATTAAGTATATAAGCCCTACCCTATTTTTGTTGTACCAAAATGCGATATCTCTCGTAACCATATTGAACTCCATCTGTCATTTTTCAGTCCATTGATCCATTTGATCAAAATCCCTATGTAATCTTAGAAAATGTCAATGTCTACTATGCCACCAATTTTTTGGTGTTGTCTGCAAACTTACTAACCACACCTTCTATATTCTCATCCAAATCACTTGTATAAATGACAAAAGAAATTCCTTGTTTAAGCCTAAAGAAATTTTAGATTTTAGTTTTAACTCAAAACAACAAATCATATTGGCACTAATTTTAAAGCATGATTAATCCTTTAAATTCCCAAACTTACTAAACTCCCAAACCTTCCAATCTGTCAGCTGCACTCCTGTGGACAAGGTAAGAGGATTAGAAAAGTCACCTGTGTGGAATGAATACCACAGACCACTGGACCAGAGAGTCTATTTCTGTGCAGTATAATGTAAGTAACTTTGAATTTGTAACCACTGCTTAAACTTTAATGTAGCTTTCAGTCTGATTAGGTTAAAAGAAGCTCACAGAAAATGCAGTTGTTGCAGTAAAACTACATTTAACTTGAATGATCTGAGGGCTGACTGTAATGGAGTACTGTCTCACTTGGCTTATCACCAATTACTTTCTGAAGTGCTCTTCAGCTGTAACTGGGAACTTCCCTTTCCTTCCGCTCAATCTTTTTATGATGCATGTAAGAGCCTGAGCACCAGTGCTTCTGTTCTCGGAACTTGTGGGTTCCCAGTCAGACTGGGCTTTGACCTGGTGTTCTTATTTTGCACTGTGGTTGATGATTGGTGGGGCTGACGTAGCTGGGTTGTAACTTTTAACCTTTTCAATGGGTTGGTAGAATTTATCATGATTTAGGTTTTTAATGTAAAAAATACTAATTTCAATAGCTAGAGAGCTTGTAAGCAAATGGCAGATTATAAGGTGCAGCAGAAGAGCTAGATGCCGCAGGAAGAAGTATTAATTGAGGCTCAGTTAACTATTGTCAAATCTACGAGGTCTTTTGTACATCTGCACATATTAATGCATAGGAATGTTTATTCTGTACAGCAGGCTAAGAAGCAACATGTCTTTTCAAAATTCGGGGTTGGATGCATTGTAAATGAATTCTGTGCCTTTTCCAATGCTTCTGTCACGTTTTTGAAAGGCTGAACAACGTGAAAATTAATGTAAACTAATGTATCTTCAGAAAGTGGTTGCTGAGGAGAATTTAATTCCGATATAGTCAATCGAAAGGGGCCTTGTTGGTGGGTAGGAAGAACCTATCTCCATTAGCAGACAGGTCAATAACCAGGGAGAGAGATTTCAAGCAAGCAGATGGAGGAGTAGAGGTTTAGGGTTAGGGGTGTTGAAGAAAGAGGGTTTCACTTAGAGGACTGTAGGAACTTGGTGACTGAGAGCATGGTAGAGGCAGAAACCCTCATTGCATTTAGAAAATACTTGGATGCCACACTCGAAGTGTGGTAACCTACAAGTCTGTGGGTGGCTCGGAAGTCATGTCATATTGGATAATGTTTTGCTGAGTAAGGAGAACATGCTAGATTGATGATCTCCTTTTATGTTGGTTGAAATGGGACCAAACAAATGTGAAGAACAGCAAGATTTTTTTACTAATCTGCCTGCTTGATCTGAATGTTCTTCCTGCCTTTCTAGGTCCAGCCTGCTCTGCTGTCCCTACCCCTCAAATCACTTGGTCTTTAGTATGATGTTTGTTGCAGAGTTTACTACTGTCCTGTGTTGATCCTCTTTTTCCGGCTTTTTTGCCATTGATGTATTTTTGTGCATATGCAGCAAAGGAAAGGTCCTCCAGTACCCCCTCCACCAAAGATCACACCATCCAAGGACATCAAGCAAGAAAATATCCTCAATCTGTTTGACGACAGTTTCATCCCTGAGATAAGTGTGACGACACCTTCACAGGTTAGCTACTTCCCTCCCACCCATCACCACGGACTTGTGATCTGAATCACCATCATCTTAACACCCCCTTCCATCTTCACCGCTTGACTAATTTTCATCTATCCATTGTGCATGAAGCATGCTTTGTTTCTGTTGGTGGTATCTTGTGTCTGGCGCATTCCTTTAGTTATCTACCTCTACTACTCATCATGTTTTCCTTACAGCTGGATTGGGGCTGTCACCTTTTTTACCGAGTCCTAACTAAAAGAATTTTGTTTTGTCGTGTAAAATTCACAAAGCATAATTATCTCTGTGGCAGAAAATAATTTTTGTGGGGTGGGGAGGGAGAAACTTGATTTTTTTTTTTTGAACGCTTTACTTTACATTTTAGGCACTTGTGATGGCAGCCCAAGTCTAATACAATCCTGTGCTCTCTTGTCTGTGCATGCTTACATGGGTCTCCAATGGGCCATAAAATCAAAATGCTAATTGTTCCTCAGTGCTGCTCAGAGGAAACTGGTGGTCATCTGCATGATCCAGGCTGAGCAAGTATCTAATGAACTTTTGATGAGCAACTTTTGTTTTCACCTGAACTACTTGTATGCTATCAATATTTAAAACGTTTTTAGATTTCAGCACTAATGGCTGTCTGCCTAGAAATGAAAGTTTTAGTTTTTGTAAAGTAAAAAGTTTTTTAATTTACTGAGTTGCGGTATCAAGTGGGTTTTGTGTTTCTCTTTACTCCACTCAAATTTCAATGAATTATTTGTAATATTTTATAAAGAATACTTTACTTTTCAACCTGTTGATGAGTTACTCAATTTCCGATAATGGTGCTGCCTGTTTTGAGAATCTGCTGGGATCAGCTCTTAAAATAACAGTCATTATAGTCTAGTTGGTTTGGCTCCTAGATGATATGCTTTATTTAAAAATTCACAGGCGAAGAGTTGGGTTAAATACTAGGAAGCAGTTATTTTCCAAGTTTATTTGACCTCTGGAATGGATCACTGAGGACAGGTAATTTTGCAGTCATTACAAAAGGGAGGTTGTACCTGGAGATACCGAAGTATTGGATGTGGAAAGAGTGATGGGAACTTCTGACTGATTTAGGTTATCCATAACTCAAATCAAAGTTTTATGTGGTGCTTGGATGAAAGCTTTGGTGATCTGAAAGGATCTTTTGAGTATTTCCTGACCTAATAGCAGATTGCTTGCCTTTTCCAGGAGATGATACTGGGAAGTGGACGTGAGTCAGGAATGTTGAGGTAACAGTGAAGTTGACAAAATGGAGTGGGCTGTTTTTCCATTCATGCAGAAAAATGGGGCTAATTTATGAATGATTTGGACGTGAATATAGGAGGCATAATAAGTAGTAACTTTGCAGATGATACCAAAATAGGTGGTGTAGTGGATAGTGACCTTGATCAGACAGGCAAATGGCCCAACGAGTGGCAGATGGAATTTAATTTAGATAAATGAGGTGTTGTGTTTTGGTTAAGCAAACCAGGGCAGGTAGTTGGACAGTCAATGATAGGGCCATGGGGACTGTTGCTGAACAAAGAGACCAGGAGTACAGATGTATAGTTCCTTGAAAGTGGAGTCGCAGGTCGACAGGGCGATGAAGACAACATTTGGCACACTTGCTTTCATTGGTCAGTTCATTGAGTATAGGGGTTGGGATGTCATATTGCAGTTTTACAACACATTGGTTAGGCCACTTTTAAAATACTGCATACAATTCTGGTTGCCCTTCTAGGGAAGGACGTTGTTAAACTTGAGAGGGTGCAGAAAAGATGTTGCTGGCTCTGGAGGGTTTGTTATAGAGAGAAGCTGATTAGGCTGCAACTATTTTCTCTGAAGTGTTGGAGGCTGATGGGTGACCTTATCGAAGCTCATAAAATCATGAGGAATGTGGATAGGGTGAATAGCCAAGGTCTTTTTACCAGGTTAGTGGGAGTCTAATACTAGATGGCATTGGTCTAAAGTGAGAGGGGAAGGATTTAAATGGGATCTGAGGGGTAACTCTTTCATGCAGAGGGTGGTGCGTGCATGGAATGAGCTGCCAGAGGAAGTGGTGGAGGTGGGTACAATTACAACATTTAAAAGGCATCTGGATGGGTACATGTATGGGAAAGGTTTACAGGGATATAGGCTAAAGGTTGGCAAGTGGGACTAGGTCAGACTGGGATGTCTAGTTGGTGTGGATGAGTTGAACGGAGGGTCAGTTTCCCAGTGCTAGGGCTGCCAGACTTCTGGCTGGTCTGAGGGAATGGAAATACAATTGCTGTAAATTGATTAGAGGCTGAGATATTCCCAACAAAGTCTTTCATCTTCACCTCCTAACCCTTTTATATTTGTTAAATTTCTTTTAAAATGTGCAAATACTGGTTTGGAGCACCATTTGGCCATTTTATGCCTGCTGTGTCATCTAACAGATTCATAGCTGACCTGACTGTGACCTTAGCTCACTGACTTTTGGATTCTAGATTGACATGGGAGTCAATCTACCTCTATCTAAACAATATTTAATCACCTTATCTTTGCCTTATATAGAGAAAAGAATTACACACAGTTACGGCCTTCAAATTTTTCCTCATCTCAAACTTAAATCAGCAACCTTTTTTAATGTTTAAGTTGTCTCCTAGTTTGAAGGGGGCATCCTTTCAGCATCTACCCCATCAAATCACTCAATTAATTGGTCTCATTATTCTTTTGTTAATGCAGATCAATATGCAGCTCTTTCCCAAAAGCTGTAGTTTGGAGTACTGATCGTCTGGTGGGTTTGTTTCTAGTAAGGACTGTTGGATATACTTTTCATACAGTCACGTTCCTATTCAGACTCTCCCTAAAGCTCAAACCCTCCCATCCCAGCAGCATCCTTAAATGTTTCCTGAACCCTTTCAATTTAACAACATCTTTCCTATGGGAGGGAGACTAGGATTGAATCCAGTATTCCAAAAGTGGCCTAACCAATATCCCGTACAGCCACAACGTGACATCCCATCTCCTATACCTGACGCACTGACCAATGAAGGCAAGTGTGCTAAACGCCTCCTTCACTACCCCATCTATCTGCAACTCCTCTTTTGAAGGAATTATATACCTGCGCCCCTTGGTCCCTTTGGCAACTCTCCCCACACCCCTAGCTTTAAATGTACAAGTCCTGCTCTGATTGACCTTACCAAAATGCAACACCCAACATTTATCGAAATTAAACTCTCATTTTGTTTAGCATCTTCCAGATTCTCTAACAGACCATCAGTGAGGTGCAGATGATTTTTTTTATTACTTTCCCTGGCACACTGGCTCCTAATGGCCAGAGGAAGATACTGAAGAAACTCCCAAATTCCATCTAGTATGTGTGAACTTTGGGTCCAATGACAAGTGTTCACTTCCAACAAAAAAGCAGCATGTTAATCAACAGAGTCTTTCTCCTTTCTCATGGCCTTGGAGAGAGGAAAAGCGAGGGAGTAAAATGCCTGCATTTTGTTAAACTTTCTCTACTGCATTAATTCCCCTTGGCAGATGGATTTTGTTTTGCATGCTTTTTGCCGTGGTAACATGAAGTGTTGCTTCATTAGGGAACACTTGGGCTCCCTCGTGTGATATTTCACATCTTCCTAGATACTTCAGAAAATTGTTTCAACCAGATGGTAAAGAGGAGGTAAAGTGATGAAAACTTAAACCACGATTGTGACTTGAACACAGATTTGAATCAAAATGTGCAACCTTTCAGTGCCAGATTGTTTTGTTCAACACATTTCCTGTAGTTATCTGGCCAGCATTTGAAATGAAGCCAAGTAAACGCAAACTGCAAAAGAATTGCATCAAGTTTTTTGAGAGCAATGTGTGTTGTCGTGTCAATTCAGTTTGTTCAGTCTGTTTGTTAAATCAATGTTATTGCTGTGAAATTTTCAAAGAGCTCTGTTTAAACTGTTGTTTTGCTGTGGAACAGTTTCAGCTGCCATCTAATTAACTAATTCAAGGCTAATTTAATAGGATTATAAGTAACAGCTGATTCACAAGCTGCTGTATCTTGAGCCATGTCCCACTCAATAAGCAAGATGTCCACAAATGGAATGTTAAGCAGTCTATTCTGAAGTCTGATATTGCTCTGTACTGTTTTCACTGATCAGAGCTAAGTCCCGTACCTGTTCCTGTGCTCCAGCCATGCCCTTAATTTTTCCAAATGAAACGTCTTGCCTTAGATCTGCCCTGTGCCCTACCCACTCTTCTATACTAGGAGCGAACAAAAGCAAATAGATCTTATGTCAATCTTTCTGGAAAGTTAATATTTAGAAGGTTTCTGATCCAAGGCATGAATTTGTTTTCTGCTGCCAAATTATTTTATTCCTCTACCTTTTATAAAGCTACACAACAAAATTGGCATATTTTTTATTCGTTCACAGGATGTTGGTGTCGCTAGCTGAGTCTGCATCCCTAATTGCCTTGAGAAGGGTGGTAGTGAGCTGCTGCACTTTGTGGTGTAGGGATCATAGAATCCCTACAGTGTGGAAACAGGCCCTCTGGCCCAACAAATCCACACCGTTCCACAGAGCATCCCACCTAGACCCATTCCCCTATAACCCCACCTAATCTACACCTCCCTGAACACTATGGGCAATTTAGCATGGTCAATCCACCTAACCTGCACATCTTTGGACTGTGGGAGGAAACCGGAGCACCCGGAGGAAATCCACACAGACACTGGGAGAATGTGCAAACTCCGCACAGTCGCCTGAAGGTGGAATCAAATGCAGATCCCTGGCGCTGTGAGGCAGCAGTGCTAACCACTGAGCCACGGTGCCGCCTTTTAATGTAGTCGGCAGGATGTTTTGTGTCATCTAGTTGATTGCCTTCTTCAGTTGCAATGTGCTACATCAGTGTCTGATCACAAATGACTTTAGTCTTTGGCTTCATCAGAATTGTGGATGTGAATCAAGACCAACTTGCTGCAAGTGGCTTTGGTCTGGCAGCCTCTTCAATTGGTGCAGAGTTCTTTAAAATTGCTTTTGTGAAAGATTGTTATCCTTTGGTCTCCTCTAGTTTATATACCTCAACTTTTGCTGCTGTGAAACCTCCATGAGTTTCTGTCATATTCAGCTACTCGGCACTTCATGACGTACTTGCGTAACAAATAAGTAAACTTTTTTTTTCTCTGTTTCTCCTCTTTCCCCTCCCCGTGCACACTCCTGCCTAGTTTGAGGCTCCTGGGCCTCTGCAGGATGAAGGAAGCCTATTGGACTTAGACTTTGATCCTCTGAAGCCAGAGTCCAGTTCAGTAGTGAGAGCAGCTTCGCCAGTCTCTCAGGTTTGTTTAGCTCAGTCTTTTCTCCAGTTAGTGACCCAACTATTCAAGTTGTAGAAAATTGAATTGACTTCAAGGCCAAGTTGACTGATTATTGAATCAGACCATCTTGTTTTGCTGTGAGGAACCTGGGCTGTTGGCGATTATGAGGACAAAGATTCTGACCATGTTGGTTTTATGGAGAACAATGTACCTTGAAACTTTACCACCGTTACTTTGGAAGGGGAGTCTTTAGCTGCCCAAGGAACTTAGTTTTGAGCCACTGCAAACAGTGAGGTGACATAGCATCTTGGGAGCACTGGAACACAGAATGCTAAAGTTTATTTTGATTTACAAATCATGTTGTGGTGAGGCATTGCCCATTCCTGATCATCAGTGTGGCTTGTTAACCCTTTTCAGAGGAGTTTTAAGCATCAACCATAAAGATAATGCTCTTTACAATGTTGAATTCACCTAGCCAGGATTGGGAGCTGAAACAGCATTCACTAATATAGCTTGTAGATTTTATTTGCTTGATGTTTTGAAATCTGGACCAAAAGGGACAATGGAAATCAACCCTCACTGATTACAGTTAATGCATGGCCTCCTTTAGACAGCATATATTTGCAGTTCTCAATGTTTAGAGAAAATTCATTCTAATTTTTGAGCAGTCATTGGTATACCAACCCTGCAGTTCCCAGTCAAAGTGAGAAAGATATTTTGAATTTCCACCCACAGATCTTCCCTACATCTCCTGCCATTGCCTTCATAGAACGGTTGAAAGATTATTCCTGTTCCTTACCCCACTACACCTCACAGTTTTCAATGCTCTTAAATGTATTGTTTCTGGTTGCTGCTTCCTGAAGGCACTGTGTGCGATGCAGTATTTGCAGTAAATTGCCACTGCCCATGGTTGCTTACAGGAATTGGGTGGTCATTATGACATGCATGGGCTGCTGAGTTCTCTTTTTCATTCAACCCCTTCCACAAGCAAACTATGTAGTTGTGGTGTTGGCAGCCTGACCAATATTCAGTACTCTGCTCTCAAAAACCCACTGGAATGAGGTTGTGCAGGCTACTTTTCACACTGTCCAAAACGTCCCCCCTGCCCACTGAAGTTCTTCCATCCTCTGTTCTCCAACTCAGCTTTCCATTGGATGTATTGAATGGAGAGCGCTTCTAGTCACTTGCTCGAATAGCTGTTTAATCGGCATTAAGCAATTTTTAATGAAAAACCCATGGTCAGACATTTACAGCTCTTGCCCTTTCCTTTTTTATTTATACTTTAACCTTTTTTCTCCTAATTAACCTGTTCAGAGATGTTATTACAATGTTCTGGAGCAGGTGGGACTTGAACCTAGGCCAAGGGGTAGAGACACTATCAGTGCCCATGAGAGAGTGTTTTTAAAAGCCTACTGCACCTCATGTTCCCAGGCAGTCCCCCATCGAGTACTAACCAGGCCTGAGTCTGCTTAGCTTCTGAAATCAGGTGTTTTCAGACTAGAATGGCTGTAGGCGCAGGCTACCCTTTCCTCTACTTGCTAATAAACTATTTTGCAGCACTTTCTTTTTGGAGTGATTGCTAATTGGACCAAGCCATGGTGTTGTTGAGCTGGAATCATACAGCATCAAAGAAATCCATGGGCTCTTGTCTGCAGTGGTAGTGTACCTACCTCTGGGCTAAAAGGTGTGGGTTCAAGTTCCACCTGTCCCAGAGCCATGTCTTAACGTTTCTGAGCACTTTCTTTGAATTCCTTCTAATTATTTTTTAATTGAGGCCACGCTGGTTCTTTCAAAGGGCAATCTAATTGGACCCAGTCCTCCAAACCCTTGCATTTTTTTTCCCTTCCACATATCTTGAAATTGAAACAGGAGAAATTTGAGATTTGGTGCCAGCACTAGTGCAGTGGTCTCCTTGTATAATTCCATAAAAATTGAGCTGTCTTTTGCATCAATCAATATTTTAAAGCATAACTTAGTTTTGTCAACTGACACAAGATGGCTAGATTTTATTTAACTCTAATTAACTTGAGTGTTTACTGATTATCCTTAAAGTGCTCTCCCTGTCCTTGTTGAGGTGTAGTGTACTCTTAAAGACAATGTAACTAACACCTGCTCAATTCACATGTTTTGTGTATTTTATTCAACATGCTAGTCTTTACCTTGGGATTTGTGGGAGGTAAGCATTATAGATCACTATTTTTAAAACACACTTAACTTTTGGCATGTTCAACAATTCTTGCCTGTTTCACTGCCCGTCCGGTTGTGTTTATATATAGTCCATGTGCTGCTCTGAACAACTGGCAGAGTCTGGGCTTGAATGAGCGGTTAGGTGCTCTTCCTAATGTTCACCAGCATGCACTTGTTTGTTTCTTCTGTAAAATGACTTCCTATTCCTATATTCAACCTCTGACTCTCTGCAGCTTGCTCACAGTTGCTTTGCATTTAAAGCTCAGTGTTTTGCATAAGTAAATGTTACTTTGTATGTCTGTGCCTGTCTTGCCTATATCAAATGGCTTCCCAAGTTGCAGCATGTCTGTTATGTCCTGTTACTGTTGTCTTTGTACTTCTTTGTTTCAGTGTTTGTACAGTCAAATTGGACAAGAGGATGTGAATTCTTTAACTGGCTGACTAAAGAATCCTGACGCAGAATGGTTTCTTTAATACCTGCGTATCCAGTTATTTTCTTTTGCCAATTGTGTCCTGTTGCCTTGTTATAAAATTATCGTCATGGCTAATGTAATCGCATTTTAGAAAGAAAACCAGTAAATTGGAGTCTCTGGGGATCAGCTCACCACTTGTAACATGTGGTTTCACACACTGCTGGAGTTGTGTAATGCTGAGTGAACAAACTAAGTAATGAGGACCTCCACTGCAAGCAAGCTTGGATTGGATCCCCAAAGCACAATACTGCTTGCTGGAAATACTCTGATCTCAAAGCATCTATGGAAAGAAATAATTAATGTTGCAGGTCATCAGAATCCTATCATCAGTCCCATTTATGGGATGGGTGGGGTGTCCTTGCAATCAGTCTAATCAGATTGCAGAAACAAAAACAGAAATTTCTGGAAAAGCTCAGCAGGTCTGGCAGCATCTGTGGAGAGAAATCAAGGTTAAGGTCAGAATTGAGGGAGGGTCACTTGACTCGAAACATTAACTCTGATTTCTCTCCACAGATGTTGCTAGACCTGCTGAGCTGTTCCAGCAACTTCTGTTTTTGCTTCTGACTTGCAGCGTTCGCAGTTCGTTTGGTTTTTAATCAGATTGCAGTATTACAGTTTTCTTTTGTTTTCTCAAAGAAGTCTTCTGCTGTTGTGGGGATTGTATCATTCTTCTTTCACTCCCTTTTGTATAGATATCATAAGTGTATAGATATAAATTTAATATCATAGATTTCTTTAGCTAATTTGTTTAAATTAATAGAATTTCTTATAAGGAGACATGTAGGATCTGCATGTACTGGCACCGCTTGCACTTGTGCTCACAGGTTTGTCAGATTGAAGTCACCTTACTTCGACTACAGCGTGATTTATTCCTTTTAGTGGTAACCTCTCATGGCTGAAAGGATTTATTTATTTCGTTTGAAGATAATTTGGGACGTTTCTGTGCTTCATATTTCATGATGCCAACAGTAATGCACCAGTGGGATTGTGGTTGAGAGCCTTTTGGCTGCTTTAATCACTAAATTCAATTAAAAATGAACAATCTCTTTGGGCCCTGATGAAGGGTGTAAACCCGAAACATCAACTTTCCTGCTCCTTGGAGCTGGAGGAACACAGTAGGTCAGGTAGCATCAATGTTTATTGACAATCTCTTTGGGAGGTTTAAGTTAATTTGCTTGATCCAGTATTACAGTATTGATGACCCTTGCATGGGTTAAGAGCAATGAAGATCTTTTAATACCATGTAGCGCCTCCAAATGTTGTTAATTGCTGATGTGACTGTCTTGGTGTTAACCACGCATATGAACTCAGCCAATCTCAGTAAAAGTTCCCTTCTAACTGACTTCAGTTAACCCCAGCTGAAGAATACAGGAGAAGAAATCCAGCTGGAGTTTCCGCTCATTATTATACAGTGAGCCCTTGATGTCTCTCCCAGATATTTGTTTAGTGAAACAAAGTATTCTATGAAAATTAGACATAATTACATTTCCCAGTAATATCCAAACATTTCTGCTGTAGTTGTGTGGCTTTAAAACTGCACTGAACAAAACCTTTGGAAAACTGTTTGTGAATAATGTTCTCCTTTGATACTTTTGCATTGTGCATGTCAATGGCACGACCAACATTTATTGCTCATTCTTATTGTCTTTTAACTGAGAGGCTTACTAGGTCATTTCAGAGCTCAACCGTGCTGCTGTGGGACTGGAGTACAATCAGTAACACTGGATAAAGATGGCAGATGTCCATTGCCAAAAGGCAGAAGTGTGTACCAGAGGAGTTGCAACAACAATTGGATGTTTAAGATCTCTAACTGTTGCAAACTCTTTCATTTCTGATTCATTTAATTAACTGAACTTAAATTCCACAGCTACCATAGTGTGATTTGAACTTGTGTCTTGGATCATTAATCTAGGCCTCTAGATTAGTAATCCAGTAATGTAACATTACATTATCATTTGCAAGGTATAAAATAGTTGTATTCTGTAATGAGATGTTGCGAGTATTAAGTTTGTCTTTGTCGTGACTGTTGCAGGCATCCTTTTGTCATGATGACGATTCTTGATCAAATGTAGAATTTGCATATATTGAAATCTGCAGACATGAGCAAAGAGCTAAATTATCTGAAGAGTTGCAGTCTGTGGTAACTGTGGGGCTAGGGTTGACTTCACAATTGAGTTAATTTTATTGGATTGATTGTTTTTTAAGTGGGGAAGGTGGAGGTAAATTGGTGAAATCCCTAATCCATTTTTTTTCTTCAATTCAGCAAAACTTGTAGTGGAGTCATCATTAACAACTGCAAATTGTCACTGTTCGTTATTGCATTTCCTTTTAACTGAAGTGGGAAGCTATACATGCAGGGTGTGTTCTGCATCATGGTGTTCACAAAGACATTGTAAAATAGAAGGGTGTAACTGTATACTTGCCAGAAATATTTTATGATGATATTGAGCGAAAGTGAAGCAAGAGCCGATGTGATCTGAGCAAAACGTCTAACAAATATTCAGTAAGGTGCAAATTCTCTTAAAACAAAATTGATACTGAGATTCATTGGAGTGATGTTTTGACCTGATATAAACTACCAACTACTGTTGTAGAAACTAAAGCGTTTGTTTTTTGCATTCCATTCTTCTTTTATGTGGGTCTCTTCACTACTAGCCTGTCTTTCTTTTTGCTTTTCTCTATCTTTTCTCACTGAATGGTACAGCCTGAAAAAACTGCATCTAACAGCATTTCCATGGACCAGTCTCCTAGAATGGCCATGGGCGATGGTCTTAGTGAGAGCAATTTTGCAGTGGACTGGCCAGCCCAGCCCAGCCTGCTTAGCAAGAATGAAGGTGCCACTGCTCAAGTAAGTGTGAATAATTGGCTATGTAATCTTAGATGATGTTGCACATTTTCTGAACTATGCACTGCAAACAGTGTCTACATTATTCATTGCCCTGCAAGAGTTTTGCACTTGTCGGGGCTCCAACTAGAACGTCGAGTACAGAGGTACCACATTGCCACTTGCTAAACTGAGTTATTTGTATGATAACGAGCTGCAGATGCTGGAATTTTTTTCCTCATTTGTGGGAGGTGGGCATCACTGGCTGGCCAGCATTTATTGCCCGTCCTTAGCTGCCCTTGAGAAGGTGGTGTTGAGCTGCCTTCTTGAGCCGCTGCAGTCTCCCTTCTGTGGGTTAACCCACAATGTCCTTAGGGAGAGAATTCCACATTTGAAACAAACGAAAACAAGTTAGTGGAGAAACTGAGCTGGTCAGGCAATGTTGCAACTTTATAGAATCTTAGTGAGGCCACATTTGGAATATTGTGTTCAATTCTGGTCCCCACACTACCAGAAGGATGTGGTGGCTTTGGAGAGGGTACAGGAAAGATTTACCTGGATGTTGCCTGGTCTGGAGGGCATTAGCTATGAGGAGAGGTTGGAGAAACTTGGGTTGTTCTCACTGGAACAACGGAGGTCGAGGGGTGACCTGATAGAGGTTTACAAGATTAAGAAGGGCATGGACAGAGTGGTCAGTCAGAAGCTTTTTCCCAGGGTGAAACAGTCAGTTACCAGGAGCCATGGGTTTAAGGTGCAAGGAGCAAGGTTTAAAGGTGATGTATGAGGCAAGTTTTTTTTTTTTTTTTAAACACAGGGTGGTGGGTGCCTGGAACTCGCTGCTGGGGGAGGTAGTGGAAGCAGATACTATAGTGACTTTTAAAGGGTGTCTTGACAAATATATGAACAGGATGGGAATAGAGGGATACGATCCCCGGAAGGGTAGGGGGTTTTAGTTGTGACGGGCAGCATGTTGGTCTAGGCTTGGAGGGCCGAAGGGCCTGTTCCTGTACTGGAAATTTCTTTGTTCTTCTTTTTTTGTTATCTGGCAGCATCTATGGAGAGAAAAGACCATTTTGAGTCAAGTGACCCTTCTTCAGAGCCCAGTTATTTTTCTTTAGTTATTTTTGGCTGTTCAGCTGCTCTGCAGTGCCACTCAGCCAGGGAGACAATTTGCAGGTCATGTTCTGGTGTTTTGTACTGGAACTGATCTTTGGAGCATTCCAGAACAGGGATAGGTTTTTGCATCATGCTTTTGGCAGGCATAAACTTGAATAATTATTTACACTGGGTAGGATTATCCCTTTCTGAGAAGTGGCCAGGAAAAGTCCTAAGAGATGCAAATATTGAGTAGCGGCACCAGGAAGATACCTGCCATCTTGGCAATTAAAGTTCTGGGCAGGAAGACACCAATTAAGGCTCTTAACTGATCTATTAATCTACCTGTCACCAGCCTTCCTTAATAGCCGCCTGGTCAGGTGAAAGGAGGGCAGCCTTTGCTTTATGGCTTGCCTGTTTGGTTGTGAGAGGAGTCTCAGTTATACCCCAATTTCCAGCAAATGTGGAGCACAGGTGAAGTTGGGGGGTGTGAAAGCCCCAGCTGGCCTGTGGCTGACAGATTCAGGTGAGGTGGGACATCTCTGCTGCTAGATCTGTTTGGATGAGTAGGCTACATCCACCCAGTCACAGTTTAGTTTCTGATTTGACATTTGATCTGGTGGGTTTTCTGGCTGGTGGGGTTGGGGTTGGGGCATGGTCTGTTGATCTTAAAAACACTGCCCCTGTTCTTAGACAAAAATTGGAAACTGTTAATCCCTCTAAAATTTGTGTACCATCTAATCTGGATGTTCAGATTGACCATGTTGGTAATGTCTTTTTTTTTTTTTAACTATTCCCATCACCTCAAACATTGCTGTAAATAAGTTTCTCATTTGGACAGTGCTATCACACTTGGAGATAACACTTTTTCAATTAGAATTGAAGCACTGTGCCTCAATTTTCACCTGTAAACTGAAAGACCTTGGCCAATCACACTATTCACACTCATGATTTTATAAACCTGTATAAGATCATCCCTCAGCCTCCAGTGAAAAAGGCCCCAGCCCATTCAGCTCAAACCCTCCAATCCTAACAGCATCCTTGTAAATTTTTTCTGAACCCTTTCAAGTTTAACAAAATCTTTCCTATCGCCGGGAGACCAGAACTGAACCCAGTATTCCAAAATTGGCCTTAACCAATGTCCTGTATGCCTGCAACATGACATCCCAACTCCTATACTCGATGCACTGACCAATGAAGGCAAGTGTGCCAAATGCTTCCGTCACCAATCTATCTGCCTGTGACTCCACTTCCAAGGAGCTATGCATCTGCACCCCAAGATTTCTTTGTTTGGCAGCACTCCCCAGGGCCCTACCATTAAGTGTAAAAGTCGTGCCCCTGATTTGCCTGACTAAAATGCAACACCTCGTATTTATCTAAATTAAACTCCATCTGCCACTCCTCGGCCCATTCACCCATCAAGATCTTGTCCATTACACCGCCTGTTTTGGTGTCATCTGCAAATTTACTAATCGCACCTCCTATATTCATATCCAAATTGTTCATATAAATAAAGAAAAGCACGGGACCTAGTATCGATCCTTGCGGCACACCGCTGGTCACAAACAAAATCTCTACCACCGCTCTGTCTCCTACCTTCAAGCCAATTTTGTATCTAATTGGCTAGCTCCCACTGGATTCTGTGAATTAACCTTGCTAACCAGTCTGTGTAGAACCTTGTTGAATGCCTTGCTGAAGTCCATATAAACAACATATGGTGCTCTGCCTTTATCAATCTTACTTGTCACCTCTTCACAAAAAGCTCAATCACATCAGTGAGACATGATTTCCCATGCACAAAGCCATTCTGACTATATCTAATCTGTCCTTTGCAAATGCATATGAATCCTGTCCCTCAGAATACCCTCCAACAGCTTACCCTCCGCTGACCTAAGGCTCACCGGTCTATGGTTCACTGGCTTTTCCTTGCCACCACATTAGCCATCCTCTATGGATGAGGTACCAGAAGACTAGTTTTTGTGAAGGCTACAAGGCATTCTTCATCTTTCTCCCAAAACTAAGCTGAAAATTTCTCTGGCCTGAAGAGTTCCTTATGACATTTCCAAAAGTGCGGATTTTAACACTATCCTTGCAAATATATTTAAGATGGCAGAGTGTGGAATATGACTACTGATGCTCTTAATATTTAAGATCTAGTGCAGACAGGCAAAAGAAGTTCTCAATTAAGGGCTTAATGGTACCTTTTTTGGGGCTGTACCTTTCTTTCCTCCCTCCTTAAGACGCTTCTTGAACCGATTTCTTCGACCAAATGTTTGGTCACTTAATTGCCTTGCATGGTTTGGTGGCGCACTTTGATAGTGTTTCTAGGGTGTTTTCCATTGTTAAAATTGGCATATAAATAAGGTCAGTGCTGTGCACAACTTGTGACTTCAGTGCATTTCTGATTTTTAAAAAATTTTGCATTTTGTTCTGTTGCAGGCAGTGGAGCAAGTGAATGCCACTGGTGAAGTTGCAGAGAAGGGAGCTGAAGATAAAGTTGCTTCTGATGTTGTAGGAACCAAGATTTTATATAACTAATACTGTATAGGTGTATTTTGGTGACTTTCATAGATCATTTGGCTTGATTTTTGTAGTATCTGAAATTTGTTTTTTTTTTTGTTTTTCTTGTGAAGATCAAATTGAAACTAATTTAAGGCCAGAAATATAGCTCGCTTCAGCAAAGAAGCATAGAGTTGCTTAGATTGCTTCACTGATCAACTTCCTTTTGATTGATGAGATGAAAATAAGAGGACAAATTCTGAGGGCCAGATGTGTTAATTATAGTGAATAAATTAGCAAGTTAATTATTCCTTCCATCTGATGGGGTACGTTTGACAAAGGCAGACTTTTGAGGGCCGAAGTTCGAAGGATCTTCCAGGTTCTCCCCCTTCCTTCCACCCATCCATGTGCACACTCCCATCGAGCAACCATTCCCAAGACTTGTGTGAGTTTAGAAAGTGGCAGTAAAGGGAAATGTAATTCTTTCCCCTCACGCACTGAAAGTAGCAATTGATGCTGTGCAGTCCACTACCTGAGTACAAGTTGGGAAGGTTCCAGCAGTCTACTTGCCTCTCCACTGTCACAGGTGAACTTGAGCAATGAATCTTGGAGCACAGATGGAGGTATGTCTGCCCATCATGCCTGCGCAGCTCTCTGAAAGTTTTATTGTCTTCACTTGTCCGTTCTATTTAATGGACCAAGTGGAAGAAAATGTTTATACTGGCACTTTTTGGGACATTGGACTGGCATGCTTTTGCATCCAATGACCCATTTCTTTAAGTATAGGCAATGTTGTAAGGAACTAGCCATTTTATGCATAGTAAACATGAGATGCATGATTAATGTTTTGGTGATTGGCTGAGGTATTACTCATGACACCAGGGTGGACTCCACTGTTGCACTTAAAAGATAATCTCAATGCTATTATTCCCACCTGAAATCTCATGGGAAAGACAGCACCGCTGACAATGTGACATTCCTCTGTACTGCCCTGGAACATTGATCTTTTTGAGCATCTCCTGAAGGGCAGGTAGACTTAAATTTAACAGAACGCATCTTTTTTCAAAAAAAAAGCTTGTTCTGGGCGCATGAGCATCAGTGGCAAGGCCAGCATTTGCTGGCCTCCCTAATTGTCCTTGATGGAGATGAGCTGCTGCACTGTGTAGGTACATAATGTTTTCTTCTATAGTGGCTTAATACCATGTGTGGCTCACTGGCGCTCAAGTGTCAGCCACATTGCTGTGTATATGGAAGGTTGAATAAGGAAAACAGATTTCCTCCCCTGAAGATTCCCGGTGAACTAGTTGGATTTTTACAACAATGTATTCATGAGACTAACATTTTATTCTAGATCAGTTGAATTTTAATTCCCCAACTGGGATTTGAACTTCTCTCGAGCATTTGGGCCTCTAGAATTTTGGACATTGACTATGCTACTATACCTTTGTAATGAAAGCATTTTGATACTGTTTGTACGATTTGTAATGTTGGATGCCAGTCTTTGATCTAATTAATATTTCCCTGAATTTCAGTTGGAGGCACAACCAGAACCAAAGAATGAAAGTTTGGAAAATGAAACTGGTACAGACCTTGCCATGGTGAGGGAAATATTGAGAGAAATTTCTACCAAAGCAACAGGAGGCACTTCAGCCTGCAGACCTCTGTTAGATTGTGGTTGATCTGTGTCACGAGACCATCTACTTATCATAGAACATAGAACATTACAGCGCAGTACAGGCCCTTCGGCCCTCGATGTTGCACCGACCTGTGAAACCAATCTGAAGCCCATCTAACCTAAACTCTTCCATTATCATCCATATGTTTATCCAATGACCATTTAAATGCCCTTAAAGTTGGCGAGTCTACTACATTTGCAGGCAGGGTCCATGCCCTTACTACTGTCTGAGTAAAGAACCTACCTCTGACATCTGTCCTATATCTATCACCCCTCAATTTAAAGCTATGTCCCCTCGTGCGAGCCATCACCATCCGAGGAAAAAGGCTCCCACTGTCCACCCTATCTAATCCTCTGATCATCTTGTATGTCTCTATTAAGTCACCTCTTAACCTTCTTGGTTCTGTACCATCTTGTAATAGTTAATCAGGGAATCTGAACTAAGATGCTGGTTAAACTATCTTACTCATCCGAGCTGGTGGTCTTCTGTCTGTCATTCTCTCATGTTCCACTGAACAGCTGGGAACAGGTCAACTAAATCTTGCCCAGAATCAGGTTCCACTCTGCTGCTGTCTTTGAGTTTTCTTCTACCCTGGGACTTGAATAATGCACAAATTGGTTGAAACAGGAAAGCAGAGTGGATCTGCTGATATCTGACTGAACTAGAGCTGTGCTCACCTTTTGGTGGGATTACACAGCAGAAGCCAAACTTAAGAGGGTGCAACATGTCCTATGTTTCGGTTCTTGGTCTCCCAATGTCTCATTTGCAAACTGCTTGTATTTAAAACCCTCCAAATCCTCTCTTTTGAGTAGTTGCCAGTGTTCTGAGAAATCGGGTGCTTCTCTGACTCCAGCCGCATCTATACTTGCCATTTCCTTTTCTGTTCTCCAGTGGTGGCTGTGCCTTTTCAGCAATCTAGCCCCCAGACTTTGGTATCGCTTTGTTCAATCTTCGTGCACCCTAAGAGCCCAATTGAATTGAGAGATGTGGAAATGGTAAACTTATAAGAACCTTTTACATTGTCCAAGGACACTGTCCCCAATATATTGCTTTATAGTACAGTTGCTATTGTTTTGTAGACAATTATGGTAGCCATTCTGCACAGGAGACTATCCAATGACTTGTGTGCAGGCTGAGTTGATCACATTTGGTTCTGGTTTGATGATTGAGCAATCAGTCTTGATCAGCATGTGCAAGGAGACTCCCCTCTGATATTCCAGGATTTGTGATGAGATTTCTATTTGGAGTAGGTGTAGGTTCAGCATCTCGCCCGAAAGGTGACACCAATTGATGCTTACCAATGAGCTGTCCCAGAAAAGTACTTAGCTGACGTGGTGGTGAAGGCTACGTTTGTCTGAAATGTCAAGAGGGCAAATGAACTTTGCCAAATGTTACTACCTGTGTGATTTCAGTTCCTATTCACTAACTCCCCTTTGCTTGCTGACTAGAGTGAGGCATTGCTGGACCAGGATCCAATTTAAAAATTCTCATCTGGTTTAGAATCCTTCACATTGCCTGTTCCTATTCTTGTAACCTTCTGGGATATCTGTTTCCCCATGGTCCGGCCTCTTCATTGTACTGATTTCCTAAGTGCTCTAGTTTTGGCCGTACCTTTAGGTAGCTAGGCCCTAAGCTCTGGAGCTCCCTCCAAAAACGTCCATAGCCCTGGACATCCATAGCCCTGGCAAACCTTGAAGCTCTTTAGTACTTTTAGACAAAGCCTTTGTCCCCTTCCAGTTGTTCAAGTAATTCCGTGTCAAATTTTATTTGATAAAACACTTCTATGGAGTGCCTTTATCAATGACCTATTTTTGCATTAAATGTAAGTTAAAATTTGCAGAATGCTAAATGCTATTCTTTTTTTTTCCCTAAATTAAGTCTAAGGATGTTTTGCCAGCTGTAGTAACAGAGACGCTTCCAGCAGCCACCAATGGAGCTGTCTATGACTCAGTCCCTGTTGAGGACATGGAAATGCCCCCTGGATTTCAGTTTAAGGTGGGTGTCAAGTTTAATTTCATACCAAAATACATTTAAGTAGCTACTGCTCCCAATGTTACTCCTATTATTCAGGTTTGACCAGAAAAAGAACCCAAATCCACCAGTTGTCGTATGTTCAGCAGGGCATTTTTTTGTTTTGAATGAGTGTGGATGGGAGAGACTGCAGTTACATATCCCTTCTACATTCTGCGCTATCCTCCTGGACAGGGATCAGTGCAGTGAATGATGCTTGTCCTCACTTGGAGCCAACAACAGTACTGTTGAGGAGAGATGTGGAGTGTAGCAACTTACAGGGTGATGAAATTTATATTGGGCAAAGCAAATAGAGAATTCAGTTGCATGTTTAAGGACTTTGGGACCCTAAAGCAAACTTGCAGTACTGTCACAGACCTGCATCTCATTGAGTATAAATACCACTGAGTGGGTGGAGTTAGAACATTATAGAACGAGACTGCAACACTATATTCGACAATACATTTGAGAGCATATAAACATATTCACAATGTAGTCAATAGCCCTTGCCTAATGTGACTACATGTCTGAGCCTGGTGTATCTATAATTACCACGTGCAGCAGTTTTTGGAATTACCGTATAAGCAGTGTTACTGTGAAGTCTTGGCCTGAAATCGGTCCTTGACTTTGTCTTTTCCTCAGCCAGTCTGTCACGAGCCCAAACGTTTTTATGCCAAAGTTGCTGTCTGAATTTGTTTCTAGGAGAGTCAAACGAGACTAGTGGTGTAACTTGAAATACCATCCACCTTGGCTGGAAGGGATGGTGTATCTACCAGCCTTGTCCTTTTTAGGTAGTAGAGGTCACAGGGCCTAAGTTTGACAGCACCTCAATTTAGTAAATCACTACATAGATCACAATGCCAGTGTCCTTGATTCCCAGTCTCCTTAGCCCTGCAATCCTCTGTGATCCCTGTGCTGCTGCAATTCTGGTGTCTTGTACATTTCCACTTCCTTCTGCTCTATTGTTAGTAGCTGTGCCTTCAGTTCAGGCCCTAAACATTGGAATTCCTTCCTTTTAAACCTTTCATGTAAAGGATTACCTTGGATGTTTTCGTTAATGTAGACAACTTGAAGCTGCTGATTCATGCCAAGGCAATATTGGCATCAGGGATCAATAAGAATTGACACTGAAGGTTTTGTAGAGTAAAATGAAAGTGTATGAATTGTGATGAATTTTGTTGTGGCAGGTTCGGGCTGTCCATGATTACAATGCAACAGACACCGACGAGCTAAACCTTAAAGCAGGCGATGTTATTTTTGTTGTTACTCATGAAAACCCAGAAGAACAGGTGAGTAGTTCATAAACTTTAACTATGGTCAGAGGTACTTCAAGACTTTAGTTAGGTGTGGAATGTTCTGTAGTGAGGGTGGAGTTGAAAAAGATGGAAAATCTTCCATTTCATGTAACTCCTTATTTTCCCTTTTACAACTTCAGTTTGTCCCAAAGTGCTTTAAAACCAATGACTTACATTTGAAAGTATAGTTACCATGGTCAGAAAGGAACCAGGACAACCAATTTGCATTTTGCAAGCTTCCATAATCAACAATGTGATAATAGATAATATGTTGATAATGCTGCTCTGGGCATCGAAAAACTTGTGTTCTTCCCCTTACAAATATAAACTTCTCAACAACCAAATGATGATGTTACAGCATCTGTGGTGGGACTGCCATCTGGCTTTGAGTGCATCAATTGGAAATGAAGTGACGGGAAATTGATATTGTTTGAGACCAAAGCAAATGTGTTCTCTGTGATATAAACTGAAATTGTTGAAAGCACTCAGCAATCCTGGCAGCATCTGTGGAGAGGAGCAGCGTCAATGTGTCTGGTCTGAGACCTTTCTTCAACCTTTCATCCAAAAATGCTGCCTGATCTGCTTCGTATTTCCAACATTTTCAGCTTCACAGATGGGAATAGGAAATTGCATCCCTTTCATTATCTTTACGATAGTGAGGACAAAGCATAAAAAGTTGTTGAATTGCTGAGATGGGTATGGAGAGGAGGAAATGGGAACTATATCTGAAGATGTGTTTAAAGCCTAAATTTTGCAACTTGATTTTAAGTTCAATGTATTTACAAACTTGAGTAAAGGAGCAGTTGGATTGGTGTTTGGCAAGGAATATGATTGTAATAGTATATGACCCCACTTGAGCGTAATCTAAGTTGACTTGCTGAACCCTGAAGAAGTGCTGCATTGCCAGATATCTCATCTGAAAGGTGATATTAAATGGATATTGTGTCTGCTCTCTGGTAAGGATCCTGAGCTGCTATGTTGAAGAGCAGTGAAGTCTTCCCTGGTGACCAAAGCAATATTTGACACTTCAACACTTAACAGTCAAATTATACATTTGATGTGGTCTTGTTGTTTGTGGGACCATCCAATGGGTAAATAAGCTGCCACACTTCTGCATTGTCGGTGACTAGATTTCAAAAAGCACTTCACATCCATTTTTAAAGTCCTGTGATTATGGAAGGATTTACAAAAATGCAAGTATTAAGTGTATCTCGTTCCTTCCAACTTCAGGTCTAGCCACAAGGCTACCCAGTGATATCTTGATATTTTCTTGAATTCCCGAGCATACTTGGCTCACCGTTTTTATCTTGGAGTTCAATGGCATTAACACTACGGAATTTCCCCTACCACTAGCAATACCCTGGGGGTACCATTGATCAGAAATTGAAAAACTGAGCCAGCCATATAAAGCAGTGAATGAAAAATGGGAAACTCTCAAAAGAGAGATGAATAGGGTACAATCTGGGTCCATACTCATGAGAAATAAATAGTGGATCCAAATGTTGGCTTTAGCTCTCTGGCTCTCACAGTTGCAATTTAACTGAGCATGAGACCCTTAACTTGACCTGGGGGGAAAAAGTACAAAAGGGCAGGGGCAGCCATTCCTGGGGTCTCAAATTACCCCTTTACCAGGACAACACTCACTGGAGAACAAAAATTGAACTCCACGCCATCTGAGATGGGAAAGCTGATTTTTTTGCTACTGTTACATCACTGTTTATTTGTAATCTTTTCCTCCACAGGATGAAGGCTGGCTCATGGGCATAAAGGAGATTGACTGGATTCAGCGCAAAGATCTGAAGACCGCTAGGAGTGTTTTCCCAGAAAACTTTACTGAGCGTGTTCAATAACCAATTGGATAGGAAAGAGCAGAGAGGTGGGAGGAGGCTCCTGGGGCTTGTAGATGGAAGACCTGCACCAGCGCAATTTCCTCGTGTTTTGTCAGCCGAAAAACAGAAGTTGCCATTGTAAATGTGAAGCATTCAGCCCATGGTTCATGTTTACCAGCTCTGGGTTATGGTGCTTTGAATGCTCAAAGGGCAGCTGGTCCTTGGAACAAGCAGTTCTACCATTAAAACAGCAATTTACTCTAGTTTCTCCATTGCATGAAGTTCTGTTGTGACAATTTGAGCATATGGGAAAGTCAAAAAACATATCTAAGGTATTATGTGATATCCAGGTTAGAAGTGGGAGAAGGTTGATTGTGTTTGTTTTAAAGCTACTGGTGTTGCTTTTTAAGGGGTCTTTGAGCTGACCTTCCAAATGCTTCAGGAGGCAATCATGTAAGCGATGCAGTTATGTATGATCCTTAAACAGCCAATGTAAAGCTTGATCATTCATTCACTTTGTGTTCATTGGATGATATTAGGGCAGTGACAGAAATGGGCAGTTGGAAACTGAATTTACATGATGCTTTTTATACCCTTGAACCGCATCTGATTTTTTCCTTTGGTGATCCTACTCTATTTTTTAATGTAATAATGTATGGAAAGGGATGTCCACTGGTTTATTTTCACTGGTTCATTATTTTTGAGAATTCCTCCTGTCTTTGGAGAGATAAAAATGAATCAATGAAACAAATGTTGGGTGACTGCTACATGAGCCTGTCTACAATAGAGAATTGCAGGAGGGTCTTGATTTTCATTGGTATGCTATCAAAAGTGACAAAGTCAGTCATCTGGGTTTTTTATGTTGTTGCTTTTGGGTTGGGGGTTTCTTTTCTCATTGTTCATAGGCTGGAACAGTGATTAGAGACTAGTCTGCGGCTAATTCTGGATAGCATTGCATTTGAGGTGAAACATCCCAGGTTACCTTCCATCCCATTCCCCGTCACAACCCTTTCCCATTGGCTGTGTGGCAATGCCTCTGACCAGTGAGAAAGCAAAAAGCCTCTTTTTTTTATTACTCTTTGGCTGATTCTTGACAGTCACTTGAACATTCTCTCTTCTTTTCCAACTCCTTTTTTCAAAATAAGAGAGCAGAAGTGTTGAACTTTTTTTTTCCCTGCGGTGTCAGGAGATGATCTTTCTAAATCCAGGGGACCCAGGACAATTCTGGAGGGTCAGCAGCCGCAGGTGATATCAGATTGGCATCATTCATTCAGCCTTGGTCAAGGTTAATTTGTCTTCCATGAATTTTGGGAAGGTGATTCTCTAAACCTGGTTGTGAGGTGTTGTTTTTGCCTGAAGCATTAATGACTCCATTCTCAAAACGTTGCACACTTCTGCATCTGTCTCTGCTCCTTTTAGGAAAAGCAAGAGATTACTGCCAACTTTGTGGAGTCTGGCCAGGAGGTCCGTTGAGCCTTGCTGGGGTCTGCAGGTATCCAGTTCATCTTATAGGTTTGCATGGTGGGAGTTAACAGATGAACGTGATGGTCAAACCAGTCCCTGACACCCCTCCATACCCCATGTGTCCTGCTGGATAATGTGTGTAACAGTCTGGATCGGTGTTTTTTTTCACGTTTTACTCCTACTCCTACTCCTACCCCTACCCCAGGGACATCTGATGCCAAATAAATCCATGAGCCCTATTCGACGACTTGTAAACCTGTCCAGACCATTGTAAGCGGACTGAATTAAGATGTTGATCATCTTTTATTTTAATTTTAAATGCTGCTGTAGCCTTGGCAGGTTTGTCTCCAATCCTGAGGGCCTGACTTACCAGTATTTTAATTATTGTAAAACCTGCAATCATGTATTTTTCTCGTGAGTGAGATATTAGTTTACCTTGCAATTATGGGTTGTTGTTTTAAGCGAGCCATCTGTATAGTTTATCTTGACTCGTGTCCATTATGTTCAATGTGAGTCATTGCCATCTGTGAGTGTGTGTAAATACAATAGTTTCCCAACAGTGTGATTTTTGAAGTGGCTTGTTTCAGTATTGTCCTATTTTTAAAAAAAAAAGTCAGTTTCCCAGTACTAGAACATCAGTTTGTTAACTGAAAAGTTTCTGTTGGTGAATTATTTCAGTGTCTTCCACAGCATTGTGTTCTGAACATCTTTTTTTTCAGATGCAAACAGCCCTGATGTTCACTTCTGTGTGGTGTTACGCCTGTGATGTCGCTCATTCCCAGTGATTTTATGCAATGCAGTTGGAATTGCTCAGTTCATAGCTAATGCACAAAGAAATAAAACTGGTCTTCTGGTTGCATGTGTTTCTTGTTTTTTTTTAAAAGAATTTATTTGTGTTCTTGCATCCTTCTCTGGGCTAAATGGCTGCACTAGCCAGCTACGAAAGAAAATAGAAGCATATTTGGTTGTAGGGGAAATAACTTTAGAGAAATTGAGATGTCAACCTAATGAAATGACAAAAAGGGATAGCTTGTATACAAAGCAGGATAAATGACAAATGGTAGAAAGAGCGAATAGATTAGATGTAAGTACTGCTACATCCAGTTATAAATGGTGGTGGACAATTAAAGCTACTCACTCGAGGTGGAGGAAGCTTCTCAGTTTCCCAAGATCCAGTGATAGGGAGCCCAGCACATCAGTGCAAAAGATAAGGCTGAGGCATTTGCAGCAATTTTCAACCACAAGTGTCAAGTGGATGATCCATCTCGGCATCCTTCAGTGGTCCCCAGCCAATTTGATTCAATCCAGTGACATCAAGTGTTTGGAGGCACTGGGTCCCTGAGGGCCAAGGGCCCTGAACACCTGCCAACACTACTGAAGACTTGTGCTCCAGAACTTGCTGCTCCCATAGCCAAATTATTTCCAGTACAGGTATTTACCTGACAATGTGGAGAATTGTTCATGGTATGTCCTATACATTTTTTTAAGAAAAGAAAAAATCTGTCCTGATTAATTACTGCCCCATCTGGGTATCAGTTTGCTGAACAGCTGGTTTGTGATGCAGAGTGATGTCAATGACATGGGCTCAGTTGCCACCTCGGGCTGTGATTACCATTGCAGGTCCTGTCTTCTCAACTTAAACCCTCACCTGAGCTGTGGTGACCCTCTGGTTTTAATCACCGTCAGTCATTTCACGGTCCTCTGGGATTATCGTGACTTTACTGTTGAAGGACAATAAATGTGAAATGATTCAAGGTGTCATCAACAGTGCTATCCAGCAGCACCTCATCAGTAATAACCTACTCAATGATGCCCAGTTCGGGTTCAAATCCTGAGTCTCGTTGTAGCCTTGGTTCAAACACAGACAAGAGAGCTGAATACCAGATGTGAGTGACTGTTATCGAGGCAGCATTTGTGAGTGTGACAGCAAGGAACCGTAGAAAATCTGGAATCATTGGAAATCGGGGAGCAAACTCTTCTGGTCAGAGTCGTACCTGGCACATAAGAAGATGGTTGTGGCTCTTGGAGATCAGTCATCTCTGCTTCAGGTAATCACTATAGGAGGTGCCTTGGTATTTTTTTTTTGTCCTGTCAGTCATTTCTAGTAAATCGCCCATGTTTCCATTTGAGAGTTCCTTGGGGTTGTGTTCTAAGCCAAGCTATCTCCAGCTGCTTCATCACTGCCTTCCTCATAAGCCCAGCAATGGACGTGTTCATTGTGTAATCAATATTCAGGATGACTCAGATTCTGAAGCAATCCAGCTTCAACAAGATCCTTGCTTGGGCTGACAAGGGGCAAGTAACATTTGCACTACATAATGCTGGCAATGACCATCTTCAATAAGAATCTAATCATCTCTTGATGTTCAGGAATATTCTAAACACTTTCAGTATGCTAGGGCTACCATTGAACAGAACTAGCTGTATAAATATAGTGGCTGCCAGATCAGATCAGGTCAGGAACTGGAAATCCTGCAACAAGCAGCCTTGCTGCTGACTCCCCAAATCCTGTCCGCTATTTACAAGACACAAGTCAACGTGTGATGGGGTACACCTGTTGGAAGGTAAAGTGAGAGTGATCAAAGGTGACACCGTGTGCAGCTGGAGGATCACGACAGGCCAGGTAGCATCAGAGGAGCAGGGTGCCCTGGCTCCCACATCTGTGGGAGCTTAGATCTTTCCTTGAGCTGGTGAACTATTATGGAAAGTTTGTACATAACCCTAGCCTCCATCCTGGTGCCTTTGCATCAACTCTTAAAAGAAATGGTCACACAGCCATGCCATAACCTTCAGGGAAGTGAATAAACAGCTATCATCCTCTAAAATATTGGCACACTATGATCCCGAGCAAGATCTGGTGTTGACATGCAATGATTCCCTGTATGGCATTAGCTCCTAGATGGCCCAATGAAGAGGAACGCCCAATAGCATATGCATCTGGAACTTTGGCAAATGCAGAGCATAAATATGCCCAGATAGAGCCGGAAGGTTTGAAGATCATATTTGGTTTCAGGAAGTTCAACCAATATCTTTGTGGACATAAATTTGTAATAATAACGGACCACAAACCCCTGCTAGCTCAACACCTAGAGGACAAGACTATGCCACCCCTAGCATCAAGCCAAATTCAGCGATGGGGTCTAATACTAAGTACATGTAATTACAAGTTGGAACACAGTCTGGGCGGTCAACTAGCCAATGCATTGACCCATATCCTGCTGGCAGATACACCACCGGTGGTACTGCTACTTGAAGAGTCTGTAACGGTTTTAAATTTTTTGGATGCACTTCCAGTCACAGCTGATAATTTCAGACTTTGGACACAGAATGATCTAGTCCTGACAAAACTGAAACAGCTGGTCGTCGTGGGGGAAACCAAAGGAACATCACAACCAGGAAAACCTTTTTGGACCTGGAGAGACCAGATCACAGTAGAGGACAGCATATTGTTATGAGGAGCAAGAATGGTTGTCCTGAGCAAAGGGCTCTGCCAGATACTGGTCGAACTCCACCAGGCTGATCCAGAGGTTTCCAAAATGAAGTTGTTGGTGAGAAGTTATGTCTGGTGGCCAGAATTGGGAGCAGACCTAGCTGTACCGGTGGGGCAGTGCCCATACTGCCATAAAGCACACAATTTCCTGCCAGCAGCTTCCCCCATATTTGTGGGGATGGCTATGTAAACCCTGGACTTGGTTACACATTGGCTATGCCAGCCCTTTCATGAGCTTAATGCTTTTAGACATTGTGGATGCCCACTGAAAGTAGCTGGACGTGCATAGAGTTCATTCATCAAACACGGGGACAACAATAGAAAAACTGCACATCTTTTGCAATATACAGACTCCTGAAAGAGTTGGTCACAGCTAACGGGCCATTGTTTACCAGCAGGGAAGTTGACTATTTCCTGAAATCGAATGGAATTCGTCATATAAGGGCAGCTCTATACCATCTATCATCCAAAAGTCTGGCAGAAAGAGCAGTCCAAGCTTTGAAGGCAGGCTTAATGTAACAGCCTACAGTTTCACTGGATACTAAACTGTCCCGGTTTCTATTTTATTTTCGGACCACCACTCGCGCAACGACAGGTACAGCTCCAGCAGTGTTGCTAATGGGGAGAAGTCTCTGCACCAGGTTAGATTTGATCTTCCTCGTCTGGGGTGGGTGGTGAAATTGCAACAGGAACGCCAATACTGAGCACATAACTCCACGAAGCGAGAGAGACAGTTTACTTCAGTGCATAAAGTTTAGTGTAGGAGCTGCAGGAATGGCCCTGCATGGGTATGAGGCATAGTCAACGGGAAGTTAGGTCCAGTGACACATAAAGTTCGGGGAGGTGCAACGGCCCTGAACAGCACGTGGACCGTATAGCGTCATAGAGATGTACAGCACAGAAACAGACCCTTTGGTCAACGTGTCCATACCGACCAGATATCCTAAATAAATCTAGTCCCATTTGGCCGTGTCCCTCTCAACTCTTCCTATTTTGCTGCATGTTGGAAAGGCATACCAGGGCAGGACTTGTACGCTTAATGGTATAGTCCTGGGGTGTGTTGTTGAACAGAGAGACCTTGGAGTGCAGGTTCATAGTTCCTTGAAAGTGGAGTCGCAGGTAGATTGGATAGTGAAGAAGGTGTTTGGTATGCTTGCCTTTACTGGTCAGTACATTGAGTATAGGAGTTGGGACGTCATGTTGCAGTTGTACAGGACATTGGTTAGGCTACTTTTGGAATACTGTATGCAATTCAAGTCTCCCTGCTATAGGACGGATGTTGTGAAACTTGAAAGGGTTCAGAAAAGATTTACGAGGATGTTGCCAAGGTTGCAGGGTTTAAGCTACATGGAGAGGCTGAATAGGCTGGGGCTATTTTCCCTGGAGAGTTGGAGGCCAAGGGGTGACGTTATAGAGGTTTATAAAATCATGAGGGGCGTGATAGGGTAAATAGACAAGTCTTCTCCCTGGGGTGAGAGAATTCTGGAAGTAGAGGGCATAGGTTTAAGAGAGGAAGGATTTAAAAAGGACCGAAGGGGCAACTTTTTCATCCAGAGGGTGGTGTGTGTATGGATTGAGCTGCTAGAGGAAGTGGTGGAGGCTGGTACAATTACAACATTTAAAAGGCATTTGGATGGGTTAATGAAGAGGAAGGGTTTAGAGGGATATGGGCCAAATGCTGGCGAATGGAACTAGGTTTATCTGGGATATCTGGTCGGTATGGACGAGTTGGACCGCAGAGTCTGTTTCTATGCTGCACATCTCTATGATTCCATGACTATGACTCTATTCATATACCCATTCAAATGCTTTTTAAATGTTGTAACTGTACCAGCCTCCACCACTTCCTCTGGCAGCTGATTCCATACATGCACCACACTCTGCGTGAAATAGTTGCCCCTTAGGTCCCTTTTAAATCTTTTCCCCTCTCCCTTTATACCTATGCTGTCTAGTTTTGGACTCCCCCACCCCAAAGAAAAGACCTTGCCTATTTGCCCTATCCTTGCCCCTCATGATTTTATAAACTTTTATAATGCCACCCCTTGGCCTCCAACTCTCCAGGGAAAATAGCCCCAGCCCATTCAGTCTCTCCCTATAGCTCAAACTCTCTCCAACCCTGGCAACAGCCTTATAAGTCTTTTCTGAACCCTTTCAAGTTTCACAGCATCCTCCTTGTAGCAGGGAGATCAGAATTACGGACATTATTCCAGTTGTGGCTTAACTAATGTACAGATGCAACAAGACCTCCCAACTCCTATATTCAGTTCACAGACCAACAAACGCAAGCGTACTAAACGCCTTCTTCACTATCCTCTCTTTCCACTTTCGAGGAACTATGAGCCTTCCCTCCAAGGTCTCTTTGTTCAG